CCTCTCCAAAAAAAAAAAAAAAAAGAAAGAAAAAGAAAGTCCAAGGCTCTATTGTAGTTTCAAGTTTTCTTCTACAGTCTTCAGTGAAGTGCCCACTTACTCGGGGCCAGCAGGGGGCAGCTGCGTCCCTGGACTCCCATGTGGCCGACTGCTGGAGTCTCTGACCCCTGGCTTGAAAACCATGCCAGGCGCGTCTGCGTGTGTGCTCGAGATCCTGGGAGGAGAATGGAGGAGAAGAGGTTGGCCGTCCCCCTCGGGGTGTGATTTCTCTCTTTTTCTCTCACTGTCTCAGTCTCTCTCTCTCTCTCTGGCAAGCACATATAACCTAAAGTGAAAACTTTAAAAAAAAAAAAGAAGAAAATACCCATTTACCTAATTTCTGATAAAGACTGTGCTTTTTGAAGGTTCGAATTTAGATCAAAGTACAAATAATCCAAATTGCCTTTTTATGATTAAAATGTAACATTAAGGGACATGCAGGTGGTGTGGTGATTAAGGCACTGGACTCCCACATGGCCGACCGTGGTTCAAGTCCTGGACCTGGTGGCTTGAAAAATACACCACGTGTGTGTGCATATGTGCCTAAAATCCCAGGAGAATGGAGGAGAAGGGGTTACAGTGTGGCCGTCCCCCTGGGGGGTGGTTTCTCACTTTCTCTCTCTCTGCCTCTTTCTGGCAAGCACGTGCACCTTATGGCAAAAACCTCAAAGTAAACTTTAAAAATTAAAATAATAAAATGTAACACCAAGCATTATCGAAAAGGCTATTTTCACTCTTTTTATTTTATCATCGTTATTACTACCAGAACTTGCACATTTACTGGAGGAAGACAGAAGAAGAGGGAGAGAGCACCCCTCTCCTGTCTCCTCCCTCTCTCCCACCTGCCGGGGTTTTGGACACACCTACACACACAGTTGGTGCTTTTTCAAGCCACCTTTGCAGGGATTAGTCAGCTGTGCGGGATCTAGCTCCCTTAACCACTAGGCCGTGAGGTGGCCCCAGAAAGATTGTTTTAATGCTAAATTATCAAACAGTTTTGTTATGAGACAATAACATTTTCGGGTTTTTTTTTTTTTTTTTGGAGAGGTTTTTCACTATAGGGCACGTGCGCTCGCCAGACAGAGAGAGACAGAAAGCGAGAAATCACCCCCCAGGGGGATGGCCACGCCGCAATCCCTTCTCCTCCATTCTCCTCTTGGGATCTTGGGCATGCACATGCGCCTGGCGTGAGTTTTAAGCCACCGGGTCCGGGACGTGGGAGTCCAGAGACATAGCCATTACGCCAACTGCTGGTCCCTGATAATGACATTTTCTGTAATGTGCACTTGCACTTGTGTTAAAGTAACACGCAGAAGGCCGCACTTGCCGAGCATAGCGTGGTTCGGTGCAGAATGCAGTGTGTGCTCAGCTGCTGAATCTGAAGCCCGTAGCCTGGGCAGTACGTGAGCCCGCAGGCTGGGCAGTACGTGAGCCGTAGCCTGGGCAGTACGTAACCCCGCAGGCTGGGCAGTACGTGAGCCGCAGACTGGGCAGTACATAAGCAACGAAAGTGTGTTCCTCACAATTCCGCAGGCTGAGCCGTCCCAGGTCAAAGCACCCACGGGTTTGGTGTCCCGTGGACCCCTTCTTTCGTTCCCTAAGTAACTGTCTTCTCTGTGTTCGCGGATGGCAGGGGGTGGGGGGAACTCTTGTAAGGTCACTAACCCACACGCGAGGGCGGGCCTTTGTGGCCTAGTCATTTCCCACCGCTAAATACCTTCACTTTGGGGGTGAGGATTTCACTCTATGAACTTGAGGGGAACACAGACATTAAGATAGCACATTGGGCCAGCAGGTGGCATAATGGTTACATCGCTGGACTTCCACATAGTTGACCACAGTTTGAGTCCTGGACCCAGTGGCTTAAAACTCATGCCGGGCACATGTGCGTATGTGTCCAAGATCCCAGGAGAATGGAGGAGACGGGATTGCGGTGTGGCCATCCCCCCCCGGAGGTGATTTCTCGCTTTCTGGCTCTCTTAGTCTCCCCGGCAAGTGTACATGCCCTATAGCAAAAATCTCTCTCAAAACAAACAAACAAAAAAAGCTGTTAGCCCGTACAGATGTGACTTCTGTGGTGACAGATCAGGGTCTCCTGTCACACACTGACTGTAGCAGTCTCTGCTGGTGCGTTCAAGTCATAAACAGTTCATCTGTATTTTCTTGGTACCAAAACAAAAAAGCAGAGTGTACAAGGGCGGGTGTTCACCTACCGTTGCCCTGTGGGGTGTCTCTTCTCAAGGCTGGGTGTGAGCTGGGAGGCCTGGATTGTGCACACGCCTGCCCAGGGCGTCCCAGACCGGGGCCTACACTGTTGATTTCACTGGGCTCTCCCGAAGCATGTCCCAGGACTGGGTTATTCGTGGGGCTTCCAAAGGGGCTTCCCGTTTCCCCAATGCTGGCTCTGCACACCGACTTTAGAGCCTGGCTCCACTGTGTGATGTTCTAGAAGGCAGTGAGGCCATGCGGGGACACGAGTTCATCTGTACACGGGAAAAAGGAAGATTTTCCCAGGTTGCTCATGTGTTTAATCCTCTCACGTGGAAAGTGTCTGCACACTTCCTACAGGGCCCTGCAGACAGGAAGCATTAGCCCTGACAGCCCCGAACTAGAAAGCCAGTCAAGACCCTTGTCACTCTCCCCTGTCTCTGTAAAGACATTTAAGTCTCTCAGTCCCTCCCTGTTGGGAAAGTGTGTTGTTTGAACATTCATGAAAGAAAAAAAAAGGATTCCAAGAAAAATGAGGGGGAGGTCTTCAAAAAGTTCATGAAAAATGTGCGTTCTGGAGAAATCACACATGAATTTTAATTATTTTTGTACCAAAATAGAATTAAACAGGCCAATTCCATTTTCCCACAAAACTTCTGAAGCCCCTTCATGCAGACTGGTTGTCTCAGGGTGGAGACAGGGACTGAGCAGGGCCACCCGGTGACAGTTCATTAGTCTTCGGTGGGATGCCGCCCCGTAGGCCCACTCCTGCTCTGTATGTTGCGAGCCACACTGAGGACCACCAGGCTTTGTACCAACCTGCCCTCTGCCTGTCCAGGTACTGTTTTTTGTTTGTTTGTTTGTTTGTTTTGGGAGAGGTTTTCACTATAGGGCGCGTGCGTTCACCAGACAGACAGAGAGAGACAGAGAGACAGAAAGCAAGAAATCGTTCACCAGACAGACAGAGAGAGACAGAGAGACAGAAAGCAAGAAATCACCCCCCAGGGGGGATGGCCACGCTGCAATCCCTTCTCCATTCTCCTCCCGGGATCTTGGACACGCACGCACACGCACCCGGCGTGAGTTTAAGCTGCCGGGTCCGGGATGCGAACCGCAGTCAACTACGTGGGAGTCCAGCGACATAGCCATTGCACTAACTGCTGGTTCCCTTCCTGTCTAGGTTCTGGTGAAAGTCGGAGACAGAGTCAGAGCTGGGGACTCTCTGGTGGTGATGATTGCCATGAAGATGGAGGTAGGCCAGGGCCCCGTGGCCTTGGACGCTTGGGGAACTGCTAGACCCAACTGCTCTTTCGCTGTATGTTGAGAGCTCATCTCATTTTAATAATGAAGAGCCCTGGATTGGCTAAGCATTGATTACAGGAAATCAAAACCATCCGTCTTTCATGTAGACACGTTTCCATTCTAATTCTGCGAGACTGCCCCCAGCTGTCATTTTTGATTCTGATTAATGAACCTGCCAGTAGCTCGGTATCAGGCAGTGACCCAGCTGAAGTCTGCGCCTGGGATCCGAGCATCAGTGTCAGAGTGGAAACACCTCAGTAGGATTAAGTGAGCTGTTTAGGGGTTTTAGATGGTTGGGAGTTTTTTTCTTTTTTAGGAAGTTTTTGCCCTAGGGCGTGTGCGCTCACTGGAGACAGAGGTAGGGAGAGGGAAAGTGAGAAATCACCCCTTAGGGGAGATGGCCCACCCGGAATGATTTTTCAAGCCACCAGGTCGGAGAATTGAACCATAGTCAGCCATGGGGGAGCCCAGCAATGTAACCACTATGCCATCGGCTGGCCCCTGATGGTTGGAAATTTTAGGACAGCAGGTCTTAACCCTGGCCAGATCCCTCCGTCACATCCCCAGACCGATTGGGTGGGCTCTCCTGGTGTAGGTCTCAAGGACCAGTGCTTTCTAAAAGCGTCTCAGGGGGGCGTCTGAGGTGACTCTAATGTGAAGCTGGAGGAGGGACCTGCTGGCTAGACTAGAGCTCCCCAAGCGTGTCCTTGGGTAGGCTACTGGTGTGTCCAGGAATGGACTCCCGTCAGCCCCAAACACGCCATCGACATCTTGCCATTTTCCCTGTGCTGAGAACTAAGTCATGGGGACAAATGGCGACACTCTTGGGTTTCCACGCCTTCTTGGACTTGCTGTGGACTCAGGTCCTCACAGCACTGACCGCTGTGCGTGTGCGTCGGGTCTGTCTGTCTCCACAGCACACCATTAAGGCTCCAAAGGACGGCACGGTGAAGCAGGTGCTCTGCAGGGAGGGCACCCAGGCCAGCAGACACACACCGCTGGTACAGCTGGAGGACGAGGCTGGCAAGCAGGGATCCGAGTAAGCCCCAGCCCAGAAGCGGCCAACCGAGTCTCGTCGCTGCGCCAAAAGGAGACTGTGCCTCTTGCTTTTCTTGTGGCTCTTATAAGCGGCTCTTCCGCCACCTGTGTGGCTGCTAAAACCCTCTCAGATTTGACAGTCTTGTACTTGGGTCACAAAAATAAAAAATTATCTCAAAGTATTTCATACTAATAAAATTTAGTTATACTTTTTTATTGAAAACTAATGTTGTTTGTTTCTCCCTCAAATTTTATACACTGTAGTGTCCTTCAGGAAGGTTTCCAACTTAGAGAATGATTGGAAGAGAAGAGGTCACTTAACTAAATTCATTACCTCCCCGGTCCAGGGCTAGTGAAAATGGAAAGTAACTAGCTGCAGAGAAGTTGCCATTCAGGTAAACCAACCAACGCTTTGTTTCAGCAGAGAGCGGCTTCCTGGGCCAGCTACACACAGGGTGTCATTTGTCTCTAGCCTTTGCCATTAGAGGGCCTGCTGTCCAGATGCCTCCACCTTGTCCTTTCTGCACTGGCTAAAAAGAAAAACGCACACACGTACATACATATGTGTGTGTAATATGCTAGAATATATTCTTTGTTAATGTTTAACTTGGATAAAGTTGAAAGACATAATCTTACAGGAAGAGTGGGTGAGAGTAGGAAGTCTAGCTCTGCTGCCTACTCTTTCTTTTTAGGTTTTATGTGCAGGGCACATGCATTTACTGGAGAGGCAAAGAGACAGAGAGTGAGAAATCACCCCCTTAGGTGGATGGCCACACAGCAGTCCCTTCTCCATTGTCGTCCTCAGATTTGGGCATGCAGTCATACCTGGTCCGGGACTCAAACCGCAGTCGGCCATGTGGGAGTCCAGCACCCTGACCACATGCCACGTGCTGCCCCCACCTACTTTTCTTCATTACAGAGTGAACCTGTGCATGTACTGTTGTCTGGATTCCGTCACTGGCAGCCGTGCGGCCTCTGCGCTGCCACCTGGCCGTCGACGTGTTGAGTATTTGTTGAACTGAGCTATTGCTGAATGCATTGGGCTAGGTTAAATGTTGTGAAGAAAGCAACGACATGTAAAAGATGATCTCTGGACTTTAACTGGGAAGAGTACACATTCTCGTGTCACAAGTTACGTGGGCCTTCACATCCGAATCTGCCTGCCTCCTGGTGCCAGGGAAGCAGGCCCGTCGTCAGGGCAGTGGTGAGGAGGGCGCCGCGTGGGAAATCAGGTGCCCAGTGCAGCTACGACCGACTGCACAACTCGGAGTGTGTTCTCCCCAGCAGGGCAGGAGGGGGTGTGCAGGAAGTCGGCGTTCAGGTGCCTGGGGAAGGGAGGTCCTGTGGCAGGAAGGAGTGCCCGGGGCAGGAGGGCGGTGGGAAATGGAGACCAGAAATGAGGAAGGGCTTCACTGCTGAAATGACAAGATGTGTTCTGTGGCAGGGAGCAGATCTGCCCTGCTGGAGTGGAGGGGGAGTCCGGGGTCCTCTGCTGGCATATGGGACTGGCTTGTAGCTGGAAGGGAAGGTCAGCTTTGAGGCTTACCCTTGCAGTAGTGTTTACATTTTTTAAAAGAATTATTTACTTAATTTTATTTATTTATTCAATCATTTTCACTTGACCAGAGAAAGACAGATACACAGAGAGAAGGAGAGTGAGAGAGCAAGCGTACTCGAAGCCTGGCCGCCCCTGGGGGAGCGTCCAGTGCCTTGACCACCATGCCACCTGCTGGCCCATTGTTTACATTGAATTCATGTGCATTTTAGAAGGAAAGCAGTGATGATTTGGGGAAGTGTGTGTGGCTATATTAGAGCCTCTTTTAGAAACACTGATATTATTTTTTTTTAGAGGTTTTTGCTATAGGGCACGTGCACTCACCAGAAAGATAGAGACAGAGAGACAGAAAGCGAGAAATCACCCCGCAGGGGAGATGGCCACACCACAATCCCTTCTCCTCCATTCTCATCTCGGGATCTTGGGCACACACACACATGCGCCCGGCGTGAGTATAAGCCACCGGGTCCAGGACGCGAACCACGGTCGACTACATGGAAGTCCAGCGACATAGCCATTACGCCAACTGCTGATCCCGAAACACTGATGTTATTTCACAGGTTGAACATCTGTATATCCTATAACCTAACACCCCACTTCTAGAAATGCACAAATACATTTGTGTACCATAAATGTTCAGAGTCGCATCACTCATAATAACAAAGCACTGAAAAAGCTCAGAATTGGGGCCAGCAAATTGCATAATGGGTATGTTGCTGGACTCCCACGCAGTCAACTGCAGTTCGAATCCTGGACCCAGCGGCTTAAACTCATGCGTCCGTGCCCAAGATCCCAAGAAAAGAATGGAGGAGAAGGGATTGCAGCGTGGCCATCCCCCTGCGGGGTGATTTCTCCCTTTCTGTCTCTGGCAAGTGCATGCACCCTATAGCAAAAATCTCTTAAAAAAAAGAAAAAAGAAAAGAAAAAGATGAGAGTTGGTTGGCGGGAAAAGGGGCGCGTGTGCTTTGTGCACAAGTGGGCTGCTGTGTAGCAACAGAACAGGGTGAGAGCAGCGACCTGAGTGAAACACGCATTTCCTGGGAGACAGACAGCACTCCTTTCCAGACCGCCAAAGTCAGCACCTGGCAACATGGCGGTTAGCGCACGCGTACTGGTGATGGAGCTACTGGGCCGTCGGAGAAGTCATGACGCGTTTTGCACAGAAAAACAGAGAACATCATGACTTTTTCAACAACTCAATGTATTCTTTTATAAAACAGAATGAAAATATTGAAGATAGGGGGCCAGCAGGTGGCGTGGTGGTTAAAGGCGCTGGACTCCCACATGACCAACTGCGGTTCGAATCCCAGACCTTGTGGCTTGTTCTCTCACTTTCTCTCTCTCTCTCTGTCCCTCTCTGGCCAAATTAAATAAAGTTAAATAAGACAATTTTTTTTTTAAACTTCACTAAAAAATATTGATGAGGGGACCAGCAATTAGCATAATGTCCATGTCGCTGGACTCCCACGTAGTTGACCGTGGTTCGGATCTCAGACCCGGTGACTTAAAACTCACGCCGGGCGTGTGTGCTTGTGTGCCCAAGATCCCGAGAGGAGAATGGAGGAGAAGGGATTGCGGCGTGACCATCCCCCCTGGAGGGGTGATTTCTCACTTTCTGTCTCTCTGTTTCTCTCTGTCTGTCTGGTGAGCGCACGCGCCCTATAGCGAAAACCTCTCAAAAAAAAAAAATTGTTTTTAATTGGGGGGACCAGCATTTAGCGTAATGGCTATGTCCAGGGACTACCACCCAGTGGCACCCGGCTAAACTCACACCAGACGCATGTGCATGCATGCCCAAGATCCCAAGAGGAGAATGGAGGAGAAGGGATTGCGGCGTGGCCATCCCCCCGGGGGGTGATTTCTCACTTTCTGTCTCTCTGTCTGTCACTGTCTGGTGAGCGTACATGCCCTATAGCAAAAACCTCTCAAAAAAAAATATATATATATATATTGACGATAAGGGCCAGCAGGTGGTGTGGTGGTTAAGACACTGGACCCCTACGTGGCTGACCATGGTTTGAGTCCCAGACCTGGTGCCTTGCTTTTTCACTTTCCCTTTCTCTGTCTCTGGTGAATGCATTAAAAATATGACCAAAAAAAAAGATTTTTTTAAAAGTTGAAAATGGTGATTAGCTCTGGGTATTAGGCAGTAGGATGAAGTAAGACATATGCAGCTACTCTGGGTGCTCCAGCTGTTGGGCTGGGCAGTGGTTATAATAATTACAGACTGATGCTTCACAACTAACAGGTTACCTTAAATCTTTTACAATTCTAATATTTTAAGAAGCCTGTTTCAAAATTTTATCTGACAGCAGCTTGCAAGCTAAATAGAGGAAGAAAAGACTAGAAACTGGGAAACCAGTTAGGAAATCTTCTTCCAGATATTTGGATATGAGGTAATAAGGAACTAGATCATCAAAACCAGAACTTTATAAAGTATTTTTAGCAGCAAAGCTAAAAATACAGAACTTCAAAACAAAACTTCCTGTATGAAAAGGAAAGGTATCCTCCTGGAGAGTTCAGGTGGTTTTTGTCCTTTCTCGAATGTTTGGAGCCCAGCAGTTGGCATAGTGGCTAAGGCACTGGACTCCCACATGGCTGACCGCAGTTCGAATCCCAGACCTGGCAGTTTGAGATAACACTGGCCCATGTGTGTGTGCCCAAAATCCCAAGAGGAGAATGGAGAAGGGACTGTGGCATGGCCATCCCCCCAGGGGGTGAGTTCTCACTGCCTCTCTCTGTTTCTGGCAAGTGCATGTGCCCTATAGCAAAAAAATAAAAAATAAAAATTAAATGTATAATGGCTATCATAGCAAGTGGTTGTCTTAGTCCACTTTTGCTCCTGTAACACAGGGAGTACTGCAAGTCTGAGTAGTGTATAGAGAAGACATTGATTTTAGGGACCAGCAGTTAGCGTAATGGCTATGTCGCTGGACTCCCACGCAGTTGACCGCGGTTCGAGTCCCGGACCCGGTGGCTTAAACTCACGCCGGGCACGTGTGCGTGCGTGCCCAAGATCCCGAGAGGAGAATGGAGGAGAAGGGATTGTGGCATGGCCACCCCCCCGGGGGGTGATTTCCTGCTTTCTGTCTGTCTCTCTCTGTCTGTCTGGCGAGTGCACGCGCCCTATAGTAAAAACCTCTCTCAAAAAAAAAAAAAAGACATTGATTTTAGACCTGGTAGATGGCACGGTGGTAAGGCACTGGATTCCCACGTGGCCAATGATGGCCCCAGTCCCAGACCTGGTGGGTTCTCACTTCCCTTCTATTTCTCTCTTCCTGGTCAAAATTTTTAAAAAATAATTAATATTAAAAAAAAAAAAAGAATCTATTTCTCACCGTTCCAGAGGCTGGAAAGCTCAGTATTGAGGTGCTGGCAGCTGCCGGGAGCTTGTGCTACGCCTTCCCACGGTGGGAGAAGGGGCATGCAGGTGGGCGAGACAGAGGGAGGGTGAGGTCATCCTGTTTTCAGGAGTCCCTGGTGCATTAACCCAATCTTTTATGACATAATCGCCTCTTCAGGGTCCCATCTTTTTTTTATTCAGGTTTTTGCCATAGGGTATGTGCACTCTCTGGCGAGGGGTAGACAGAGAGAGGGAAAGTGAGAAGCCACTCAGATCACCACCCG